ATTCATAACAGCAGCAAAATTACAGTTATGACATAGAATGAAATCGTTTTATGTTGTGGGGGTTACCACAGCATGAGGAACTGCATTTGATGGTCACAGCATTAGGAAAGTTGAGAACCAATGAACTAAACTCTGTCAAATTTGATAGTCATAGAAAACAGTCCTTTTTTTTTTTTTTTTATAAAATAGAAGCCATCTTAGAGACACAGCCATCTCAAAGGCATTCCTGCTGCCAGTCTATGGGACTTAAAGTCTACACTTGGCAGTTTTATTTTTAACTCACTAAAGTCCGGACCTCTGAGGAAAATCAGCTCTGGGGATGAAGAAATGCCAGGAGAGTGAAAGGCGTTGGGAGGTTTTGCTCATGGAACCGAAGCTTAAGCAAATGCAACAGAAGAAGGGCCTGGTTAAAGTCATAGGCTGCTGCCGGCAGAGCCTTCCCAAACCCAGCAAGCTGGGCAACCGTACTTCCTGCAGAGGGTCAGCTGCTCCACGGAGGTTTAACTGGACGGCAGTTCTCTGGAGGTGTGTGCACTTGGAAACATCTCTGAATGCCATCCATGTCAGAAGCTGGCTTTATGCACGGTGACTTCAATTTCCCATCTTGCTCGTAAGTGACGCCATAGGTAGTAGTCATGGTTGCATGCGCCTGTCACTAAGAAGGGCTTTTTTTTTTTTTTTTTTTTTTTTTTTTTCCTCCATTTTCAAATTACAACTCCCATATATGCAGCTTGAGATGTATGGCCAACTTTCCCCACAGGTTCACTAACTGGTCGCCAACAATTCTACCCACACTGACTACATGCAGTGCCAAGAGAGGACTAACTCAAGCTTCCAGAAAAAGGTTTTACAAAAGGGTTTTAAGACTGTTCTTAAGTTGTCACAGAAAGACATTTTTTAAAAGTACCACTGGCTCTTCTAGTTCTTTTATTTGCTTCTAGGAATACTGGGGGGTTGAGGGGGGGGTGACACAGAAGTATTATTACCCACTGTCAAACTCTTAACTAAGATAGTTAAGGGCCAAATTAAGGAAGGGAACACGAGAGTATCAAAGTCACACTGATCCTAGAACACAAAGTTTCAGATCCTAAAATGTCCACCAGAACTTTCCATCTGAGAGAACAGCCCAGGAACTGGGAAATCTGGGGGAACTGTGCAGCAGAAATCATTCAGCAACTTGGGACATGCCTGTAACCTGAGGACGATCCATTTGGATGAGCTCTGCAAATGAACAATGATACCCTGGTGCACACACAGTACACGCAAAGATGTCTATTCTGACTAACCCTTCCTCGTTCTCTTCACACTTAGCGTTCCCTCTCCTCGTGCTATGTCCACTCTGCAAACCTCCCAGAGACACAGAGTATGTGTCCTGTGCCTCAATGTCACATGTCAGTGCATGAGCTATGCAAGGCCTGTGCCATTCTGTACCCACAGCTTTCTAAGCTGGTTCCCTCACCCTCTATCCATCCTGCTCTCCACTCAGACCGATCCTCCACATCTCACAAGGATAGGAACTTCCCCCATACGCCCTAAGGATGCTCTCTATCCTTCTCATGCAGTACCTCCACTTGAGTTCTTTCCCTGAAAGCAAAGCTGTTTCCTCTCCCTCACCCAGAAGCACAGAGGCTACCTCCATTGTTTGAGAGATGTTCCCTGAAATCAAGGAAAAGTCAAACAAACGTTGACACTAAAATAGTGAAGCCACTTGCACACTTGGAAGCAGTAAGCCTCAACACTTGCTACAGGACAGTGTATTATTCTGGATTGCCACTGTGCATTTACAAGTTGTTACTGCTAATACCGCCCTGCTTCCAGCCAAGGAGGAGAAACCTCTCTCTTCAGATAATGAAATCAAGGCCCCGAGGCTAAGGAAGTTGTTCAAGGCAGGGGTATAAAAACGTGTGGTATACTACCAAAAAAAGTTCAGGCTCCAAGCCTGTTCTTTCCTTCACACCGTTATTTCTAAGTACTATGGCAGGGGCCCCTGGAGGGTCTGTGGCTACTTCAGACACTGAGTTTCTGCTTTCTCTCCATGCAAACAGGCAAACAGGCCGTGGACTGTTTCAGTACCGTGATTTGCACAGGCTGCACAGGGATGGGGGTGGGAAGATGGCAACCCAGGGCCTTGCACAAACCAAGTATCTGTTCCAACTCTGAACTTGAGTTTGAATTTCTAGGGTAGCACATAGCAATACAAGCAGCCCACATAATGTAACTGTTGTGGAGTTTACATTCCCCAATAGTTTCCATGGGTGTTCAGGAATCTGAAAGGGCTTCAAAACCATTGCATAAGCTACGGAAAAAGAACTAGTAGCTATAGTCTTCATTTCCCCATAAACTTTACCAAAATGCCAAGTCTGGATCTTCCACTAATGAGTATGACCACGCACAGCAACGTGGTTTCGTGCATTTTCAGTCGATAAGCCTTTGATCCCACATTTCCCTTCGTTTACTGTTTGTGACAAAAATAATCTCTAGATATAGTAGGCATTATGCAATTCATAAAGGAACTAATCAGAACCTATGGAATATTTAAGGAGTACAACTTGTCTTTCTAAAAGTGGAAAAACTTGTCAGGTGGTGGTGGCTCACGCCTTTAATCCCAGCACTTGGGAGGGAGTGGCAGATGGATTTCTATGAGTTCGAGACCACAGAGTGTGTTCAAGTTCCAGGATACCCAGAGCTGTTACAGAGAGAAACCCTGTCTCAAAAACTGGGGTGAGGGATGGGGAACTCAAGTCAGAAAGTCTGTATAATTGTGGTGATTTCAAACTAACAGAACAGCTTCCCAGATGCTCAGCACAATCTGGAACTCCATCACATGTGACATTCAGTATGGATAACAATTAGGAAAAGAAGCCTGAGTGTCACAACTACAACCTAGAGACACACGGGCATCGCCAAGGCTGTTCATTATGCGACCTAATCCTATCCTTTGGGACTAGTACCATTTTTCTTGTGTCACTGAAGCATCCGATGCAGGGGGGTTAAATCACTTGGGCAGTGACACCAAGCTGTATGGGGACAGCAGGGATTCAAACACCCTTCTGACTTGACTTTCAAAACCACTTACTGGCCCAGAACCTGAAGAAGATGCAAAGTTAAGCACCAGGGGGAGAAGTAAATACCAAGAAAACTTACGAACAAAACTGAACCTGCAAAGAAACACAGTTCAAATGTTCATGTCTACAGTCTTGCAAAAGCACCGAGTTTGTCTTCTGAGACGCCCGCCCACATAGAGAGCAGTGCCCTTGGGTCACCCAGCACTGGTCCCCGGCTCAGAAGCCAGAGTATACAAACCATCTTCTGAATGCTCAGGAAAGCTGGAAAAGAGCAACTTGCCCTGGGGACAACCACAGTCTCCTCAGGGAGCCCCTACCAACTGCTGGGGTGAGAGATTCGAGGCCAGCTCTGGAGGGATCCCCTTTTCACTAGGAGAGCTTCCACTTCCGGGATTAAAACTATTTCCCCAAAGCTAAGTCCCTGCTTCCTGCCGTGGAGGTGCCCAGGCTGGCCCACCTCAGGACAGCACCAACGTGTTTGGCCCTGAGTAGACGACAGGAAGGAAACATGGCCCCGAAGCTGGCTCTCCATCAGGGCCTTGGGGTCCGATGGCAACTGCTCAGTGGACCGTCTTCCTGTCATCCTCCGAGCATCCTGGAGGAAAACAGTAAGGGCAGATTCCAGAGTCCCTGCCCAGAGGGCTGACCATTCTGTCTCTTGAGAAGTCGGTTTCGACCCAGGCACCAGATGCGTGTGCCATACCACCTCTGCAGTGCTCCTGAGACACAGGGTGTACCGGCCTGGAGCAACTGTCCCTTCACCCTGTCAGCCAGGGCCGGCTGAAGCCTCCGCCCCACTGTACTGGCCTGTGTTCTGAATTCTCTATGAGGGCGGGCCCTTTGCTTCACACAACTTCAATCTAGTCTGCTCCCAACTGCCTTTGCAGGCCGGGACAGCTGGCTCTCGCTTCCTGGCCGGAGCCTTCCCACTGACCCCTTTCTCCATGCAGAAGGCTCAACTCCAGGTGCACGTTTGGGGAAATCACCTTAAAACCACATGAAGTGTCTTCAGGGATCACTTCCCTAAGGTAAGTTTGACTGGAATCTCAAGCACTCGTCCTTCCCAGGTATTTCCTCTTCCGGGACATCTGTCGGATAAGCACCCATGATCTTTCACACACAGGCCATGTTTTCCAATGATTACGTCCACCCGGAAGAAGCAGCTTGCCCTACAGCTGAAGTCACCCACGGTGCCCCTGCCCCATGAAGACGTGCAGGTCTGGGGCATGAAAACTCACTCAGAAAAATCTGTTCATAAAACGATCCCTGCTTTTCACAGGTCACGGTCATGAAGACCAAAATACACAAGGGGGGAGGGGTGTCTTTGCAAATATAAGTTGGGAGAGCTAACGAAAATCTGGACTTACAAAACCACTGAGTTCCATCAATGCCGGCACACAAATCTCAAACCAACTCCTATAAATTACCAATCGCTGCCATTTCCTACAACGTAAATTCACGCTCTGGGCAAGTGGTAAATATGCACTACTGTGGAAACGTGTATTGCACAGCTAACTGCAGAGAATAAACAAAAGGAGGTAAGGGGTGCTAAACGCACAAACTTTTGCTCGAAACCAAGTTTCAGCATGTTCTTCAAACAGAGAAAGAGGGAAAGCGGGGGAGGAGGAAGGAGATGGCCACCAAAACAAAATCTCTTTCTGATGAGTGGCCTAGTTTCAGTCAACTGCATTATCTCCAGCTTTAGCACCTAGCACAATTCCCAGGGCATCGGGATTAAAGGATTCTTGAGTGGATGAGCCAGTGAGTGAGTAAATGGAGTAAACGAAGGCAACCGTGGGGATGGAGGCAACCTACAAGCTAAAAACTCAAGGTGTTCATGAGGAAACAGTTTCCATGACGCTTGTTAGACAAGTAGCCCGCGCTGGCTCTCCCGCCACAGCGCAGGCAGGCAGGCAGGCAGGCAGGTCTCCTTACCTGATGCACAGGCACTTTCTGCGGGGTGTTCTGGGGTGACGGGTGGAGTTGTGCCCAAGGCTGGTGATGAGGGTGTGGAGGGGAAGACTGGTGCAGGCCTGGGTGGGGCTGTAGTGGAGGGCAGCTTGGCAGCTGCTGAAAAGATGGCTGCTGACCAGGGTGCTGTTGGCCGGGTATCAGTCGTTCCTGGATTGCCTGCGGGTCTGCAAGGCCAACACCAGGACAGCCATTTGGTCTCATGTGCCCGGTCAACTCCCTTGGCGCCGAGGACATGCCCATGAATGGTCGAGGCTGCTGCATGTTTCTAGGGCCTATATTCCTCTGCCCGAGTCCCATGGCACCCGGGGGCTGGTGGGATGGCTGAGGGTGGGGCATATTTGGATAACTGCCAACTTCCATTGGCATCCCCGCACTTCCGGGCCTGACTTGCGGAGGAGGCGTGCCTGCTGGATTACTCATTGCTTTCATGGGTGACATGGGAGGTGGAGAGGCGTAAGTTCCCTGAGACTGTGAAGGATGCATAGTTTGCGTGTTCATTTGGTTAAGTGAGCCACTGGCGTGGATGGGCTGCTGGTGCATTCGTCCTGGACCGCTGTTTGATGGGAATCCTACGGCATTGGGGTACCTTGGTACGGACTGACTCATTGGAGTACTGTTTGTAAGGCCTAAGTTCTGATTCATCCCTGTACTGTTAACTAATCCCTGATTTAGGTTACTGTAAGGGTATCGAGAATACTGCCCTGAGTTGTTTACAGTCGGGGAGGGGACTGTCTGGCCCCGAGAACTGAAGTTAAGGGTCTGCGGCCTGACGGCCCCTTGCTGAGGAGGGTTTGGGGAGAATCTGGGACTGTGGGCGACGGGTTCTCCGTGGAGAGCGGTGGGGGCGTGGTGGAACTGCTGCACTGGATGTCGAAGGGAGGGTGCCACGCTCGGGCTCTGCTGGGGCATGTGCGACAAGTGGCCAGGCCCTGAGGTGGCAATGAAAGGGTTCCCCTGACTGAGGCCCTCCTGACCCTGGGAAAACTGGCTCATCCTCTGCTGTGGCTGGCCGTGCTGCTGCATGGAAAAATCCCCACGTGCCATATAGCTGCCCATCTGCTGAATGTGCTGCGGGTGGCCCTGTGCCGGCGGCGGCCCCGACGGAGCTGGCTGTGGTGGCTGTTGCTGGTAGGGGGCTCGTATCTGGTCTGGTACCTGAACAGCCCGAGGGCCCCACATGGAGCCGCTATCCACGAAAGATTGCCCGTGCCGCTCATTCTGCATGCCAGGGTAGACTCCCATCTGACCGCCGCCGCCACCTCCGTGCGGCACCTGGGGAACGGGAGGGGTGTGATACTGCGAGTGGGGAGACGCCAGTCCGTTCCCAGGGGCACTGCCCATCATCCTACTAGGCTGATCCATCAGATGCATCTTTTGTTCATACTGGTTATAGTGATCAAAATGGGTCAACTTGGTTTGATTTTGATTCGTGGAAGGATGATGAAGGGACGGCTGTAAGGGGGCGAAACCTTGGTCCATGGGCATCTGCTGACCCATGGGGTTCACTGGATTTTCAGGGTAGCCACATTCCCCAAGGCCCTCAAGGCCTTCGCTGAATATATTCCCATCCTCGCCAAAAAGACTCATCATTCCTGGATCCGCCATCTTCTTCCAACACACGGCTCCTCCAAACACAGCTTGGGAGCTTGTCTGTGCTTCTTCAATGAGGTGCTTGTCCTCAAAGCCTATAATCCTTAACTAATCTTCCTCATGTCATTCTAAATTTCCTTAATTCTCCTGGACCCTGCAGTGTCAGGCGAGGACTGGATATAGGTCCTAGAAGGGAGCAGGAGGTAGGAAGGAAGAAAAGAGAAAACAAAGAATTAGGAACAAATGATAAGAGCCGCCAGTATTTTCCACATTTGAATTTAGCTTCCATCAACAATACTAATCTAGGCCCCTTGCTGAGCTGTATTTTACAAATCTGGTTCACTTTAAGGGAAACTCATTAGCTTCTACCAGACGCATTATGATCAGTTACGTAGAAAGCCAGCAAAACACTAACCTTAACCTTAAATTAATCCATTCACTACACTTCCTCACATTCCGTTCTTGGATGGAACAGAACAAAAGAACCCGACATGGAGCAGCAGCAGCTGCCACAGCAGGCAAGCAGATGTATGAATGCAGCCAAGCAACCCATCTGCTGAAGGGAAGCCCTGGAAATGCTCTGGTTACCAACAGCCGCCCTTAACCTCGCTCCCCAGAGCAGAGTGATCAGAGGAGCGCAGCACCATGCACGCACGGGCTGTGAAAAACCCAACCCCGTTAAACTGACTGGAGGATTATACAAATACCGAAATCGGTCATTTTGTACAAATTAGACATTTACAGCCCACATCCTACTGTGTAACTGCAACAGAGGCCCTCTAACAAGAAAGTGCCCACAACCAGGTCGAAAGCACGCTTGAGCACAGCACAATAAACTCATAATTTCATTATGCTTAATAAATAGCAGGAATAGACAAGATTCAGAAAGGGACTACAAGAAAAGCTTTCATTCTCCACGAGGACCGATTTGACTCATGGCTCCGGGCCCACCACGTTCCAGATTTGTGGGGCGGATGGTAGCAGGGTCCAGACACCAGCTTCATTATGCTCCATCACCGGCTCTGGTGAAGGCTGAAGACCCCAAGTGACCACTCAGGGAAACTAGCTGGTAGCCGATGACTATCCCTGTTGGTAGAGACAGGCCTTTTCAGAAACTAGCCAAAACTGGATGCTACTTTAACAGAATAAAGTTAAAAATATCCACCAGACCTTTTCAAACCCTGATAGGACAAAGCAGGACTCAGCAGGAGGAAGTGGGGTTAGCTGGAGCATCCTTCACCTCCTATGCTAACAGTATAGCTAGCTACCCAGCCCTCTCCCTTCTCCATTAACTCTTTCTCATGCATTTGGGGTCAGATTAGAATAACCAGCTTGATTTCAAGAATGCTTCAACAACCAAAACAGAAGAGTGGTTTTGTTCGCTGCTTATTGAATCAACAAGCTAGTAAAGAATGAATTCACGTAAGAAAAATGCCTGAAATCTCAGACATCTTTGGAATTTAACTCGTTGATTTCCTCTTACAAGCACAGGAAGCACTGTGTGATGGAGGAGCACCGAAGGCGCCTATCCTAACGATGCCAGAGACAAACTCTGTCATGAGTTCCAGGGCGCTCTTCTATAAGAAGCGACGCTGCTGAGGAGACACCCAGTGAGACAGACCAAACCCTCTTCTACCTGCCCCATTCTAACCTATTCGGAACACGGAGGAAGCGCTGTTTATGGAAATGTAAACAACAGTCCGGCTCACTGTCAGCACTACAGACATGACAACTGTGAGGGCCTCCAGGTCCCTCGCTTTCAGGTGACAGCTGTCAGCTACCGTCACAGGTCTCCTCACTCTGCCACTAACTGCCACAAATGTTCTGATCTACTTTCTCCGAAAGCAGGGGTCAGACAGGGGACAATCAGGTACACACGAATGCCATTTTGTTGAAAATCTGCGGCTTTTCCACGGAATGACTAGAATTCCAGGCGAGGAGTAGAAACCTCCAGTGCCAAATGCAACAAATATTGATATATTGAATTTATTATGCCTAACCTAAAAAGTTTAAAAAGTTAGTGCTCGTAAATTTACCCAAGGTTCATTCTTCACTTTCACGGAAATAAACGCTGCAATGGACTTGAGAACAGCTTAAGGCTGCCAAGCAGCCCGCTTCACACATCAGCTGAGGAAAAGTGGTATCATCTATATGTTCTGGAAAACCTTGCTTCATATCATGACAGTTCATCTGCTGAGGCCCACCAGGTGTGTTGGGGGGAAGGGCAGGAGCCACAGCCTGGATAAATCCTGGCCCCCTCTGCCCTGGGTGGAAGGGGGCACAGAGGCCCCCGGTACTCTCTCCAGCAGGACCATCGAGGCCAGGGCATCACAGAGCCAGCTTGGAGGGGCAGCCATGGAGGTGGCACTTGCTTTTATCAGCTAAGGGTCCAGCAGAAGGGGAGAGGAAGTTGTGCAGGCATGACGAGGGACAAAACAGGGCCTCGCTGAGAGTAATTACACCAGACATTTGGCTTTGTTCCTCCTTCCGGTTCCCTACTTGTTCCCATTAAGAATCCGCTCCCGGAGGCACGAAAACTACCAGCATTATATGGTAGGTATCAAGTAAGCATGTCTCCCACCGCAGCTGTGACCACACTCAGGTGTGCCCCAGGCAGCGAAATTAAAAACCTGTGGCTCGGCAGTGTGCCTGCAGTGACTGCTAACATCTGGGCTGCCAACGCCCCCAACGCCGCCAACGCCACCTCGCTCCTTTTCTGACCTCTAGGACCCGCTGGCAACTGTGACAGAACTCCATCAGTGACTATGGTCCGGTCCGTACTTCTGCCCTGAGCTAACCTAATTAATTGATTTTGGTCATCTTTTTATTGGATTAGGACCATCTGAATGCCCACTTTCCCAGGTCCGCAGCATATAACCCTCTGGGTTTTTAACCTGTTTACAATAAAACTCTACTTTGAAGTCTTTTCTTTCTCTACATTCAATGTCCACATTGCCTATGGCTACAGATTACTGTCAAGGGGGCCACACCCAAGAGTCACAATCAGGAAAAAAAAAAAAGTTCACTTTCTAGTAGCTATGTATTAAAAGTAGCCAAAAGGGTGAAATAAATTTTAATACTTTCCATTTAATCCTTATGAAACCTGGTATGAACTGAAGGAGAGTTCACATACAAGATGTGTGTGTGTGTGTGTGTGTGTGTGTGTGTGTGTGTGTGTGTGTTCAGAGGTGAGAAGGGGACATGAAATGCCACCTGAGAGAACTATCAGCGTGGGCAGAAGCCCAGGACAATGCCAGCTCCGAGCAGTCCCCAGCTGATGAGCACGTTTGGGCCTTCGCCCCACGCTCCTCTTCACAGGTGAGTTAACAATGGGACTAAGTGGCTTTAAAAAAAAAAAAATTATTTTTAATGACAAACATTCCCCAAAATGCAAAGTGATGGATGGATAAGACAGCAGCATGATGAATAAGGGCCAAAGCCCAAAGCCAATATTGGGTCTACTTCATTCAGAGATGAGTCCGAAAGACAATGCTTCTTCAAACAGAAGCAAATGCAATTCCTTTCAAGAACTTTTCCCACAGAGTCTAACTTTTAGGAACAAGCACATCAGGGAAGGAAGCAGGTACTGACTACTGGTGCTTTCCCTAGGGATAAATAGGCATACTAAACAAGTAAACAGCACAAAGAACTAACAATGAGCTGTGAATGTAGCTCAGAACTGCATGCCGAGCATGGACGAAACCATGGCTCGACCTTTAGTATCACAGCATTGCTAAATTTTCGTAATTAAAAAAAGAAAAAAATTAGCAGAGCAAGCAGGGACACACAAGAAGTCAATGAGAAGTTATAAATATTTGAGAATGTACAATGACTTCATTATTGTTAGTTTTTATTATCCAGTATCACATTGATTACTTAATGCAGTGGCTTTCCAACCTCACAACATTTAACCAATTCCTAATTACCCCCAAGATTCTGAAGGCATTTGTGCACTTGAGTTTTAATGTATACCACAATGCTGCAGACTTCTCGCCACAGGCACAGACCAGAAACCCAGCAAGGAAACAGATAAATTCAAAACAGATAAATGCAAACATTCCCTCTAGTTCAACCATGGAGATGTCAGAACCCTGCCATGAATGTCCAGCACACCTTGGTAAGGGTGAAGTCATGGGGTATTTGCAGAGATACTGAGAATTTCTTTTCTTTTCTTTTCTTTTTTTTTTTTTTTTTTTTTTTTTTTTTTTTTTTTTTTTCTTTTTCTTTTTCTTTTTCTTTTTCGAGACAGGGTTTCTCTGTGTAGCTTTGTAGATCAGGCTGGCCTCTGATACTGAGGATTTCTTGGTTGCTGCAAAGGACCTGGGAAGAACGGTCAGATTCTGGCAGGAGGGAAGCATACATCAGTCTCCAAAGGTGTGTCCTGGTACATCAGTACCCTTACCACAACACAGAAAGAGGCCACACAGGCATCAGAGAGACAGCTCTTAAGGGAAGAAGAGAATCCGTGTGGTGGTAGATAGGTGGACACACAGGGCTCACCGTGGCTGAGCTTGAATTGAAACCGAAAGTTCCCTACCCCAACACAGCCTCCAACAGCCAACGCTTGCTGTTGGGAAGGGCATCTATCCAACTGACCACCATCCAGATGAAGGACTCAGGAAGTGCCTCCAAAGAACATCAGAACATCAGTTCCTCACCAGTCAGCAACAGAGCTGCCTCCTGGACCAAGTGGTGCCCTTGTGGAACTCTCTGGCCAAGGCCACATTTTCTTCCTCATTTATCTGCTTGGGCACTGCGGATATGCTATGACTGTGCTGCCTAAGCCAGCAGCTACTAGCCACATGCTGCCATTTAAAATCACAGTTCCTACTCTTACAAACTGCATTCAAGTGCTCAGGGCCATTCATCAGGCAATGCACAAAGCCTGCCCACGGACGGCAATGCTGCTCATTTCTTCCTGAAGGCCTTTCCTAGAAAGACACCATACTGAGTAGCACCCATCCTTGACCACAAAGTTTGTTTATTTCAAAGGCCAATTCCATCCCTTGTGATACAGCATATGGTATTTTCCCATACGTCCATTCTAACTACACTTTCAACCTATAAAATCTCTCTATTTCCTAACACAGATTTCCATTTTTGATCATTTTAGCTGCGACAGGAATAATTCTAACTATACAGAAAAATATTTAGAGAGATGGGAGTTCCCTTTGAAGTCCAGCATT